ACCTAGAGTCCACCGCCTTGAGGAATTGTATATCATATAAAAGGCTTTCTAACTACGCGTAGTTACTGTAGTTGTGTAGTTGGTGTATTGGGTCTTGCCTTTGCGAGGCTAGAGGGCGGGACCGTCTCTTTTCACAGCCTGAGTTCACTTCTGTGCCAATAGGCACGTAGAGTCCACCGCCTTGAGGAAACGTTAACCTTATAGTCTCCTGGTTCAAACCTAGTGGTCTCATGGCTGTCATCTTAAGTTAAAGAGGCGAACCTTGAGACTTGAAAATTTATTCAGATCGACATTAACCAGTCACAAAATGTACCTGCTTCCCAGAATGTGATACATGCATATGGATACAACGCGTTAGTTGGTTTTGAGTGATAATTTACAATCTTTAGCTCGTCACGCACTGCTAAACGAACTTGTCCGACCGACATCCATACCACTAGTATACGTCTGAAACAACTGTATTCCTGTAACAAACTTTTAGCAATGTTATGTCCTTGGTTTTAGTAACTTACACAACGCCGCGGCAGCTGGTCTGGTGGTTATAATTTGCTCACTAAAAGCTGGCTTCCCCATGTTTATTACTTGTACCATGTTGTTTTTCTACCTCCATGCATGTACCACTTGAAGTGGAACAACACGCCCTTTTACACAACCATATTGACTCCACATAATCGATCACGTGATCACATATATAGGGCGTATTCTCTCTCTGTCTCTCCCTCCCCACACATCTTTGATATGACCACACCCCTTCGGGGGCCGACTGGATGTTGGACGGCCGGCAACCCTAAAGCGATTTAATCAGACATAACGTCCTCGGTTGGAAAATCAATTGATCTGGTCAGACTACTCTCCAAGCAGAGGTTTGGGGTTAAAGTAATTTGGCGTGTTTTTAAACTTTCTTTGTCGGGGTTTCTTTTTTGCCCCGGGATTTTTTTTGTGGGGGGGAGGGGGGATTCAGTGCAAACTAGAAACTCCGATAAAAAAGTTGAAAACACACCAAAAATAACCCCAAACCTCTACTTGGAGACTATAGTCAGACTGCTCCCGAACACCAGCCGACTAAACAACATGCGTGTCATGCCCCAATCACGCGGGATTGGGGCATGTTGGATTAATAGCCGGCAGATAACACAAGTCAGCGTGTGACATAGTACATTATAACCTGGAAGGCGCCTGTTCAATACGGTATATGTATACCTTTAGCCTGATGTGTGGAGGGAACGGCAAGGTTTTCTAAATGTGTGCTTGCACAGACATTCAGCGACGTAGGCCCGTAAATAGACACTGCCCTGTCAACGGACTTTGGTGGTAGACTCTATCGGCACATAAGCGAGGTCCGACCGTAGAAAAAGCAATCCCACCCGATAGCCGCTCCGAAGCAAGACGAAATATGACAACTACACAACTACAGCAACTACGGGTAGTTAGAGAGAGTGCCTTTCTTGTAAATATCGTTTATCAGGGCGGTGGACCCCTGAAAAGAGACGGTCCGACCCGCTAGCGTCTGCAAGTCGAGGCGAAATACGACAACTACACAACTACAGCAAAAGAGAAACCCCGATAAAAAAAAAGCCTAAAAACACACTAAAATAACCCCAAATCCAGACCTCCGCTCCGATGTCAATATCCTCTGATGTAATCTTGTGACACTCTTCCTCACATGCAACGAAAAGCACCTTGCTGACTGTGTAGTTTTCTTTTGTTCTTGTCCTTGCCTTTCTTCCATTCCTCAGTGATGAATCTTACAAGTGATTCACTTGGAAGAAGAAATAACTAACAAGAAGCCATAGGTGACAATCCTCCGTGAAGTTTTATATATTTCAACAAAATCCCAAGCGTCAACGCCAGACCTACTGTGCAGACATTATAATTAGGCAACGGTTAATACAATGAGGGCGCGTCACAAGCATAAAACATACAAAGAGCTAAATCCATTACTGCTCCCAGGGCGTGTAAAGATACATTTGTACTGTGCTTCAAGTTCGAAGTTCATTTTAATTACACACACACAATCATTGCATTCACATAAAGATCGGACTATCATGGTCGTGTCTAGTAACAAAGACAGCCCCACCATCTTACCGTGCCTGTACCTAATTAGGCGCGCCTGGAACAGGCCAAATTCCAGCAACAGTTGCGGTAAGCACCGCGAGTGTTACTACCGCCGGCCAGATAACCAGGACATCTGCTCCTTCTTCTTCGTTACTGCCCAGCACTACAGAGTAGTATTATTGGCAGTCGTTACGCATTGTTAGTAACATTTGTGCCCGGTACATAAAAAACAAAGGGAAAAACAAGGATAACTGAGAAAGGAACATAAGACAACTGATTTTGTGTGTGCTAAAGACAGGACAAGTGCATTAGTGCGTTAGTAATATTTACATATATACAAGACATGATGGGGTGACTCAATGCAGCAGGGTCCTTGCCAGTTCAAATTTGAACTGGGCGAGAGACCCCGCCTCCACCGCACCAGGCTCAAGTTCGTTCCATTCCCTGATGGTACGGGGGAAGAACGAGAGCCTGTAGAAGTTGGTTCTGCTCGCGATGGCCTGCAATGTTTGAGTGTGATTGATGCGGCGGGAGCATCGAGCCACCGGGACAATCCTGGTTGAGTGTGGGACGGAGACAGCATTATGTATAATCTTATAAAACATGACCTGGCGGGCGATCTTCCGACGTGCTTCCAGAGACTGCCAGCCCAGGTTTTGCAACATAGTTGTAACAGAGCTTGTACGTCTGTAGTCACTGCTGACAAAACGGGCAGCTCTACGCTGGACCATCTCCACCCTACTCACCTGGTCCTTGGTGTGGGGATCCCAGACACTACAGCCATACTCTAAGGAGGGTCTTACAAGAGCCATGTAAGCTCTCTCCTTTGCCGCATTGCTTGAGATTCGCAGGCAGCGTCTTAACATTCCTAAGGTTCTGTTTGCTTTCGCTGTAACTAAATCGACATGTCTGCCCCAGGTCAAGTTTGAGGAGATGGAGACACCAAGATATTTGGTGGTACTTACCTTGGTTAAAACGTGGTCATGGAGAGAATAGGGAAACGATATTGGGTTCCTAGAAGAGGGGACGGTCATCACTTCACATTTAGATGGGTTGAAGGCCATCAACCACTCCTTCTCCCAACTACAAATACTATCGATGTCATGCTGCAGTCTTTTACAGTCGTCTTCTTCCTTAATACTCATCTGCAAGATGCAATCGTCGGCGAAAAGCCTGACTTTAGCATGTGCAGCGTATTTGGGAAGGTCATTGATGTATGCTAGAAAGAGAATTGCTTAGAGTACCTCTGCTACCAGACAACTGCCTAAATCTACGGCCTATTCTACAGGATTGTAAAAGTAGGGATGTTTCTAAAATATGCATTTACTTCAATATCAAAACAGCTACGGTAAAAATAAAAAGACGTGCATCATCCCGGACATAATGCCACACCACATGCGAAATTACACAGAAATGCGACGTACGGAAGAATGCGTTTTGGCTGCGAACATCTTCAAAAAACTTGGCATCTCTTAAGCATGGGCAAAAACATCTGGAACCACTTATCAAAACCACCCCGTATTTGCATGAAGTTCCCCCCCCACTGCTATTCCAAACAACGCGTTTTTCTGGACCATTCCTGTTCGCCTCGTAATTGTAGGGGTGCGTCTGCAATATTACATTGACCGCGAAAGCAGCAACGGCAAAAATACACATTCGTGCATGAACACGGGCATGCCCGCAGACGGCGTATAAAATTGCGTGCCGATTACACAAAGAGAACCCAGTGTTTTGACTGCGAACATGAAAAATCAGCCGATCACAACACTCCGTCCGGAGGTCCTGACCTCCTTCACGGAGTAATAAGTCTTACAAGTATTCATTTATTGTTTACCATTAACCTTTGCCAGGTTTTGATGATGATTTAAACTGATTAGCGTCAAAGTATGGCTTGTTTTGTGGCAAAGTCTTGAAGTAAGTTACATTTGCAACGCTTCTTTATATTGTTGTATATAATAGTGTGGCTTACTTTGTGAAATGCTCATAATAAATTTCACCATTGTTTCTTTAAACATTATCATATGAACCAAAATGTGCATTTTTGGATAGAAAAAACACGAAATACCATTTATTATTCAGAAAAAAGAAGTCATCAGCATTTAATAGGCAGAGATTCGTGGCAGTTGTTAACTTACATGTTTGTACCGAATTTCAGCAAAAGTGCTTCATTTATCATGGCACAGGTGTCAGAAATCTACATTTTTAGCTAAAAACACCCAAATAATGCGAAAAAATTGCAAACAAAATGAGCTGCCCTCATATCTCACTCAGATACTTCACTCAACATCGTCAGGAAACAAGCATTCCCCCACAGGTATCCCTCTATTACCATTATAAAACCGTATAAAAGTATTATCCTCTGCGTTGCTAGGGAGATGTATTTTCCTTAGCAACGGTTACCATGGAAACATGATATAAATTTCTGAGGCCCTGAAAATGAACAATTTTCCACCGATAAAAGTTTTCTTCACGTTTTACTTATGATATACACTACATTTTACTGGGAAAGCAGCCCAGTGCCTCCTTAGCAACGGCCCTAGCAACGGTTTCCGCACAGAAGGCCTGTGGGAATAGAACTTTTAGATACTCATATCTCCAGATTGGACTGATGGATTTTTACGATTTAAAGCTTAAAATGTAGGGAACAGTGTAACAAATCAGATAAATTCATGAACCAGGCTCGAAAATGCAATCTGTATATTTGACAGGTTTTGAAAAGTAAACATTCCATTTTTTTACCAATTTTTACCGAAAAATCGAATTTTAAAACCTCATAACTTCTCTTAGAAATGACATATTGGAACAAAATTGACATTTTTGTAATCCTTGGTTTCTGATTTATTAGTCCACTAAGTTTAAATCTCAAAAACATCCATATTTGATTATTTTCCACTCCCCTTTGCATTAAAGTAGAAAAAGATATGGTTCGTGTAGGGTCAAAGTTCAAGGTCAGATAACAAGGTCAAAGCTGCCACTCTGCAAAGGTTATCATGCATAATGATTAACTAGAGGACCCAACCTTTCTAAAAAACTAAGTCATCCTTTGTCCCTCTGTTTGGTAACAAATTGTCATTTTTGGGGACCTGGCCCATGGACTAATGTACCTAAGCCCTCTCCTGGTATATATCAAGAATATAGGCCGAGTCGACATGCTCAGTCCTAGAGACACTTCCAGCATTTATAATGCAAGCACAAGGCACCAATTCAAGAGTTAAAATTTAAATACCTATATAGAGAGACAATTGTTGAGTGACTGTGAACAGAACCAAGCACAAACCAGCAACAAGAGACCATGTCTAGCGAGATATTACATTATTAGATATTAAACAAGGATAGCAACAACGTTAATTCCCAGCAAATGTATCTACAAATCTAAAAGGTTTTTTTTTTTACCTCACAAGCGGTGACCCTGTCTGCTCCGGCCTGAGCGGCTAGCATGGACAGCAGACCGCTGCCCGTCCCGATGTCCAGCACATGTGCACGCTGACCACGCCCACGGACACACCCGATTGCCAGCTCCAAACCTGCCTTGTACTTCTTATTCTGTGTGGGTGTGGGAGGAAAAAACTGTTTCAGATAAAATTCTTTTGAATGAAATGGTGGACAGTAGTATTACTAGTACCCTCCCACGAATTCATTGAAGTGATTGAGTGAAAACACTTTGAGTATATCGCCATAACATCACAGCCAGCAAATGATTTATTTCATTTGTTTATTCAGAATTGTAACATGACAATACAAAGTGTGCACTAGGCAGCAAGTATGCTGATAGCGTGCACACCTAACACATACCTGGACATATGACATAGAAAAAACAAATAGTTAGAACAAGATATATATGCACAAATAACATTATCTAATAAATTACACCTGCAATTAAAATCAATTTATAACTGTACAGCAATCAAATGTTTAGTGTGGCTCAGCTGGAAGAAGCACAGAATCTTTTTGATTTGGCAATGAACATGTGGAGCGCATCTGTGAGTTTTGTATTTATGTCAAAGTTATGAGCTGGAATTATGATATACAAAAAGGAAGTGACAGTTGGGTGAATTGCCTACCTATAATTTGAATGTGTCTTAAAATAATTTGCATGTATAAGATGAAAAAAAAAAACAGTAATCGCTCCTATACCAGAATTATGAGTAGTCATGATATGACTCACCCTCTCTTCATCATGCAGCATGTCTGTATAGGAGGACCTGGAGAGGAGAAACATGACAGACAACAGTTAAAGAAAAGTTTTCATCATGATAAGATTCATTTACCTTTAATATAGACAAATAATTTATGTAACGTTAAATTATTAATAATAATTGCAATAAGTAATAGTTGCCACCATATTGCTTTGGTGCAAAAGTCTTTCGATCTATTAATATTAACGTCAGCGTATACTGTGATGTGAAGTATCATATATAACGTTAGATCATATATACTAGTAGATACATCCAAGGAGATCTGGAGATGCCCAAAGCAACGCCCACATAACATATGCACAGCTACCGCCCCCCTCCCCCATGCATGCTTACCTCGCCACCTCCTGGTTATAGTCGTAGTTCTCGTCCATGGCGGCCCACTCGGTCCGGCCTGTGGTCGGGTTGACGGTCTGACGGAACACCTGCATCAGGGAGCGCACACGGGAAAGGGAACGGGCGGTACCGGGGTAAAATCTACCACACGAACGGAGAAACCACATGTGATAGGGAACTCGTGACCTCTGACCTATCAATGACCTGACCTCGGAATTTCTTATCCGGTTAGTGTGCCGAACAACCGCTGAACGTTGTAGGATTTCTTGGCTGACAGAACACCTGTATCAGTGACCACACACAGGAGAAGGCGCGAGTTGTGATATAACAAAATCTGCTTAGTACAGGAACAGAGAAACCACACTGACCTGCCATTGATCTCACTTTATGATTTTATCACCCAATTGCTGAACATCATACATGATTTTTTCTTCATCAGAAAATTGAAGTCAAATTTGAGAAACAAGAAATTAGCTTGGTGTGATGTTAGTATCGTCTATAGTTAGTACCCTGAGAACTTATATGTACGTGCTGCAGTGAATATTTGTGCAAAAGAAACATGACAACAAAGTAACAATTTACTAACAAATGAATACAGCTTCCATAGTCACCAAGCAATATGCATCTCTTACTTTATTTAGTTCCAATATCACAAACCTCATACTGTGTAGTACTCCGTCTACCAATTCACCAAAGACACATAAATGCAACACAGCAAAATGCTGTAAATCACCCAATGATGAACAACACACAAGTCTACAATACAATGTAGATACCTGTAGGAATATCTACAACAATTGACATCTAGACTGTATTAGCTCTTAATTTTCTATACCAGCTTAATCCCACCAGTCAATGTCAAATATTTTTCTTGCAATTTATTAACTGGACAATTTTCCTATTATTATGAATGCATTTTTCTATAGTTATCAGGCCACCTCAAAATTGGAAAGACAGTTCAACTCTATGGTACATTAGCTTTCCATTGTTCATTTCTGAAATCGCAATGGCTACAACATACATGAATTCTCTGGCGGCCATGTTGGAGTACAGCAGTAGCATGTTGGTGTGTGTAACAAAGGAACACATTACTCCAACATGGTGCACATGACAATGTCTGAAAAGCCTGTATATAGCTCAATAACTGTTGAAATGGATCTACCAGACATTTATGACAGGAAAACAAGTCATTATACAAAGTAATTTCCAAGATTGCACGATGTTCAACAATTTTTGGGTCACCGTGGTAAATTCTTTACCAATTACTAGCTCTTTTTCCCATACTCATTGCATACATAACTTGTTTGTATTCATATTTTTAGAACAATCAACACTATGATAATACAATGTACATGTAATACATGTAATATTACACTAAAACAGGCATCTCATTAATTCAACACCGTAACTGTACAAACCTTCTTTCTTACATGATGATATGATCATGGGTACTGCACTGACATTTTTTACCTTTTCTTCTTCTTTTCGTACTGCTTATACCAATAACAATTGGATTATTAGCAGCTTTTTTAGTTTTAACACTTTTCAAGAAATTCTAATCAGCAACATTCCACATCTATGGATGTCCAGAGAGTACCATAGTTATAGAGTACATGTAGATACCAGGTAAGTTAATAGTCCCATCTGTTACACTTACTGTACTACAGAAATTAGACATTGTATTTATGAATACAAATGTGACAGACTCAAAAAATATAATAGCCTCCTTCAACTGCTGGGTATATACTAGTACACATGTACTGTATTCATCTAACAGTATTCATTCCATTTTCCATAGCTGGCTCAATCTGTTACACTTACTGTACTACAGAAATTAGACATTGTATTTATGAATACAAATGTGACAGACTCAAAAAATATAATAGCCTCCTTCAACTGCTGGGTATATACTAGTACACATGTACTGTATTCATCTAACAGTATTCATTCCATTTTCCATAGCTGGCTCAATGGTCAGTGTTTTGATATTGTAGTTCATTATGATTACAATTGTTGTTTTTTCATTGAGTGTCTTGAGTATGGCACCAATCCAGTGGTCATGTATCATGACACAGTTAAACTACCAATGGCAGAAATGAAAAAAAAACACAACATCAAGACAACAATCATCAAGTCTGATATTGAGAAGCTACATCTTTTTGCAAACTATGACTGGAATATTGGAGCATAGTGTATGAATACAAGTATGATTACATTTTAACCCTTGTCCTGCTGGCATTCCTGGCACAATATTTTTCAATAATTTTCCATGTCTTAATTTGATCATAGACGCCCAATTTTTTTTTGCCCTGCAGTGGCATAGTTACTTCTGCATTCGTTGCATTTCGCTGCAGTGTGATGCGTTGCACGAGAAATACCCCCAAATCGTACCTATACAGGGTGTTATATAGATGGTACTGTTTGTGCAGAACAACAATTGTTGTCCTCCGCAGGACAAGGGTTAATTATGATGATGATGATGAATACATTTTAATTCTACACATCAGGTTAAAGCAGGAGTTCAGGGTTTGAGGTACTGGTTGTTTGTGGCTGCCCCCTGCTGTGCTGCAATATCTGCCATGATGGAGGGGTCCCACGTGAAGTTGACAACAGCAGCAGGCACCAAACCCAGCTCTGCAAAGGACACCTCTTCCTCCTCTAACCTCTGACCCGTCGCCGAGCTCAGGACGAACGGCAGCCAATCGCTGACCAGCGCGTTGCGGACAAACTGTACCAGCGTGGACAGCCTCTCCTGCGCTCGGAACACGCCCTGGAGGAGCAGGTTGTCCGGGAAACGTACGCGGATGAGCGTGAAGTTGTACCTCCGCAGGTTCTGCTGCTCGTCGCGCTCCCGCATGGCTTTCGTACGCAGCTGGAAGCTCTTCTGCACCGCGTCAGTCCGCTCTTGCTGTTCCCGCTTTATCTCGTCTGTGGTGAGGTTGTAAAAAGCATCGGGAAGATGGAAATCTGTGACATGGTCTGTTGGCTGGAGAACCTGCATCATGCGATCAACTTTGAACTTCAGCGGCTGTGTAGTCGTAAGAACTTCGACATAGGACTTGAGAGTATCTAAGTCGTCACACTTATCCTCACCGAGGACCCAAAAGGGTTCCACGGTATCCTGGTGTGGTAGTTCTTTCAAAGAGAAGCCTGCTGCTTGTAAGAACTCCTCGTGACCCTCCATGGTCGCCACGCGGTCCTGGAAGGCCTTGTTGGTCAGGCGGATCTTGCGAAACTTTTCCTCATGTGGATTGGCCAAGATGTTCTCAAGATACTTCCGCAGGGTGTCCACACAAACCTGGACCTTTAACAAAAAATCAAGAAAATTGAGAACAAATTTGCAACTAGACTAGATACAGTTCAGAGCCACCAAACAACAACATCTGGAAGAATTATTATATCTATGATCATAGTCATTATTATGTTTACTGAAGGAAAACATATTGTTTTTGCTCAGTTTCTTCCTCTTCTTCTTCTTCAAACAAATAATGTCAATGACCTGAACCAGATGTCTATCACCATGGTAACGAGTGTTGGGTTACATCATGTTGCAATTTTATAGCAGGAGGGATTTAGACTCCTGTCACCATATACATACATGAATGTGTTTGAGTAAGAATTGACAGAGGAAACCATATGCGCAGGTAAACATTATGCATTTCCTTTGCAATTAATTTGCTAGTACATTATGTATTTTATTGTAATCATAAGTACAGTACTAGTAATACCAACCTTGTCCCTGTTCTTGTTGAGGCTCTGTATCATGGTAACAGACATGTGTACGGGACTGTCTATCAGACTGGTCATGATACACTCCCGTTTGTGCGGGTCCAGCCCGTCCCTAGGGACAGACTGTTCACACAGCGGGCACAGGAACCGTACCCCTGACACTGACAACACCGGGGCACACTCGTGTACCTCAGGTTCAGCCGGGGTGGCGTACGTACTGACGGCGGTACTCCTAGCTTCCCTCTCCGCGGCTTCGGCCCGAGCAGCGGCTTTGATAGCAGACGACGTTCTCTTGTTCTTACTCTGGTCCTTCTGTTCGAGCCTGGCCAAGGCGGCGGCGCCGGCCTGTTGGGCGCCCTGCGAGGGGTGAGCTCTTTCCGCGGGTGTCCTAGAGGGGACGGCCTTGCTTCTGGTGTCTTCCGTCAGTTTGTGGCCTTCCCCTGCCTTTTTGAAGGTCATGTCGGTCTTGACCTTGTTGAAGAACTTCTTCATGATGGCTGAACACTACCTGCGTAACCTGTCAGAAGGGGGGACTCCAGAGAACGAGTATTTTGGGGTCGAATTTTTAGAAACACGTCGACTCTATGTGTGATACCAGTGTCTTCCGCCTTTGTTGTGTCCCCGTATATCCTACATTGCTTTTCTCTGATTGGCCAAAATTGCACAGCTCTGTCAGTTACTCCAATATTGTCCAATCAAATTGGATCTAGGCGTCAGCTGCGGTAGTAGTTCAAGTGTCTGACCCGGAATATTCCAAAATCCTCTAAGGGGTGCAAGATTTGGATAAAATTGGAAGGTATTTAACGTTACAGTAAAAAAAAAAGGTATTTAATAGATGTTGAATGTGTCCATTATTGTATGTTTCATTAGTTTGGTACTAACGCATATACGAATGGATAATGATTAGGTTTTAGAAGATGATGAAAAACAACATGGGCCAGTCTGCACAACAGATAAAAACCGCTAGGTGTCGCTGTAGCACGGTAGCATTACTTACAGAGAGGGTGAGCGTCTTTCGTAGTTCGTGTTTCAGAACACAGGGTTAGTTTTTCCTCACACATGGCGGACTCGTACAATTTTGTGAAGTCGACAAAGCTTAAGCTGAAGGGGGACAAAAGCAGGTAAGAATACACCAGTTTTGGAGGTGAGAAACTCCCTTGGTTGTAAAATAACAGTAATGTTTATTATGTACTACCTCAGCCCCCCCTCCCCACACTGGCTCTTTGATATATAAATTATCAATCAATACTTTCTGCTATACAAGAGGAGTTACAAAATATAACTTACATCATAACATAAAGTCACTACATGTAGTATAACAACAATGATAGCTACAAATTACATGTATGTAGAAGGTCCGAGTTTTTTTCCATGATTTGATAAATGGTGAGGTCAAAAGAAAGCCCGAATGAGATGAAAAAAATTATGTTTTTGCCTCCATTCTGTAGCCACAAGAAGCACAAGAAGAAGAAGAGGAAGAGAGACAGGGAGACTGACTCGGCTGGACCATCACAGCATGAGCTGCGCGAGGACCAAGAACTACATGGTTTGTTATCATTCATTTGTATCGCATAACTGGTAATCAGTTTTACAGTTGGCACAACGTACAAGTTTTGTATATTACTCTATAACTAAGTACAAGCAAGAGAGGCATAAAAGAGGCCATATACATCAGGGCACTTCAACCATCGCTCAACCGGGACGGGGGGCGATATCAACTTCAGACAACCTTTGACCCTTTGCTGACGTCCTTACCTTAGACCTTAGGTCCTCCTGTGCCTACAGGCACATTGGGCAGCAAGTTTCCATCCGGTCCGAGTAGCTGCTGCCTCCTCAGCCTCTTCCCAGGCAATGTTGGCCCTCTTGAGGTCCTCCTGAAAGGTTCTTCGCCAGGTGTTCTTTGGCCGACCTCTCTTCCTTCTGCCCCCTGGTGGCACCCAGGTCATGGCAGTCTTTGAGTGGCGCTGGCTTGATAGGCGTAGGATGTGGCCTGCCAGTTGCATCCTCTTGCCTGTTATAATGTCCCCCAAGGGTTGGGTCTTTGCCCTTCTGAGAATCTCCTCGTTAGTGATGTGGTCTTGCCATCTTACTTTCAAGATTCTTCTGAGGTTCCTCTGGTGAAACACATCCAGCTTCTTGGTTAGTTTAGCTGTGCACTTCCATGTTTCACTAGCATATATTGCTGTTGGTAAAACAATGCTGTTGTACAGGCGTAGTTTAGTGTCCAGGTCAATGGCACTGGTTGCCCAGATGGTGCGCATCCTTCGAAACACTGCAGCCGCCTTCCCTAGTCTACAGCTGATGTCAGGTTCCACCTCACCACTGTTGCTAAGCACGCTGCCGAGGTAGGTGAACTGGTCCACAGTTTCGACTTGGGTGTTGTACACGCTGATAGTCAACCGTGGTTGATCAGCACGGTCCCCCACTTCCATTGTCTTGGTCTTTTCTATGCTGATCCTCAGCCCAACAAGAGTTCTGTTTCCCAGCAAACTGTTCTAGTTTCTTTGTGAGGTGCTGTAGATTCTGGTTGTTCTCAGACAGTAGGGCTAGATCATCCGCAAAGTCAAGGTCTGCCAGTTTCTCTCCCTCCCTCCACCTCACCCCCTCTCTACCATCCTCTGTAGTCTTTCTCAAGACAAAGTCAATAGTCAAAAGGAAAAGGAACGGGGAAAGGATACATCCTTGTCTGACACCCGTGACAATGTCGAAGAAATCTGTTGTTCCTCCCTCTGTTCTGACGCAGCATCTTGAGTTTGCATAGAGACTCTTGAAGGCGTTGACGAACTGCTCTGGTATCCCATATGAGGCGGCAATATCCCAAAGAGATGCCCTATGGATACTGTCGAAAGCTTTCTTAAAATCTATGAAGTTTAATACCAGCGGTGTTTGGTGCTCAAGACATTGGTCAATGATGTTACGGAGAGTGAAGATCTGTTCTGTACAGGAGCGGTTACTGCGGAACCCAGCTTGTTCCTCTCTCAACTTGCTGTCAACAGCTTTCTTCAGTCTTCTGAGTAGCACTGCGCAGAACACTTTCCCAGGAATTGAGAGTAGAGTAATGCCCCGCGAGTTGTTGCAGTCCGAGAGGTCTCCTTTCTTTGGGAGCTTCACTGACGTCACACGTGGGAAAAATCACGTGTCCACAGCATTTGGGTCAGATAGCTGAGGAAGACTGAGTGATTCAGTCGAAAATTTCTGGTGAGTCAAATTTTGAGTTGGAGAACAGTTTAAGTTTTTCATAAGTACATTTAGCTGTTCAAGATCAGGCAGTAAGGAGCCATTCATACCGGGATGGGCCCCTATGCTAGCCTGCGTACCATCCAGATTTTTGCTCCGCAACGCTCAAAAAAGATGATTTTGGATGGTACCCAGGCTACCCCTATGCTATAGTATTAAAAATAGAATGATGGGATCTGTGACGTTAGATCAAGGTACTGTGAGGTTCTTCTCAAATGCAATCCTCGACCTCTGGTTTTGTATCCATTCAAGGGGATATCTCTACATAACTGTAACTGAAGCTACGCAAACCATATCAAGGATTCAAACTCAGGACCTCTAGTTTAGATTCTGAGTCAACAACCCTAACCATAAGAGCACTAGTCTAATGCCAAAAGTCTCACAACTACTAACAAGAGTTCCACAATCTCATACCTTCGCCAAATGATGTTAACCCTTGCGGGTGACGAATTATACAATTTTAATCATTGATTTTGTAAATAAGAGCCTCATTTGCATGGATTATATCAGTTGATCATATTCTCCATCCAATGACAGCCTTATCATAACAAAAAGGCTATTATAGCACTTCCTCATAAATTATGCAAATGAGGTAATGATTTGAATAAATTATGTTTATTGATGTTCACCTTCACTTAACTTCCTTTAATTTTCCTTTAATTATGCAAATTAGGTCCTCATTTACATAATCTATATCCTCAGATGTTTTTCTCGTTCTCAACTAGATGTCACAAGTGTTTCATAGTTCTATTATCAAACAAAGCAGATTTATAGAATTTCCTCATTAATTATGCAAATTAGGTCCTGATTTGCATAATTGCCATCTGATTATGTCAAGCATTACTTCAACTACCTACATACCAAAAATCACGACAATACGTCAACCGGTTCTTGAGTTATCGTCGTCCAAATTTTTTCAACAAATGCTCCTGCAGTTCCAGAACAAGGCGCTAGGGGACCCAAACTCATGGCACTTCTTCCCTACCCCAAGAGCTATCTACCAACCAAAATTCGTGACCCTAGCATGTCCAGAACATGAGATATCAAAACCGGAAGTTCAGCTGCAGTACCTAGGAAAGCCGCCAGGGGGCCCAAAATCTAATCATTTCTAGGTCTCATGAAGACCTACCCACCTACCAAGTTTCATTCCAATCCATCCACCGCTTCTCGAGTTATCTTGCTAAACCACACACAAACCCACATACATACACACACACAGACAAACGCTACTGAAAACATAACCTTCTTGGCGAAGGTAACAAGTTGATTGGTGTACAAAATTGTGACATAGACAGAATATAAACCTGCAATTTTCTCTTCACCTGCTAGGTGGCTGGTGGAGTGTAGAAAACTTTGACCAGATCAAGAACAACATTGCCATAGAGCTGGGGAACAGCAGCTATGTGATGGCAATGGACACTGGACTGTTTACACTGGGGGCTCCCCATGCAGGTAACGTTTGTTTGTTTGTTTGTTTGTTTGTTTGTTTGTTTGTTGCCAATGAGCATGAATGCAGTATCAGTGTCAATTTTTGATAGTATGGACAATGTCTGGAGTTTGATATACAAAGTACATGTGTTTAGGGCTTAAACTTGACAATCTCTACTTACTGTAAATCTTTTTTGCTATTCTCACAGTGACCTCTTTGACGTAAAATTATGATGCTGCAAATATGCATTTCACTTACTACAAGTCCACTGTAGAATTGTAGGAATTGTAGGAACATCAGATACCACAAAGACCCACTGAAAAAATAAATGTTGATGGTACTGACTACTGAATGGTGGGCAGGGGGATTGTACTAAATTTACTACAATCTGTTTATGTTCTCATTATGGCTTCACCACAAAGTGGTGAAGACATATTGTGTTCCCTCATGTTTCTTCTCCTTCTCCTTCTCCTCCTGCCATTTCTTTAAATGGATTCATCTCTGCCATTTTCAGGCCAAATAACACGAAATTTGGCATGAAGGTAGAGTGGGCAAATACCCTGACGCGTTTTTTTCATTTTTTTGAAAAATTGTTTTATTTGGGTTTTTTGGCCATTTTCAGGCAAAAAATATACATTTTGAGATCTGGTTCCCAGGTACTAAAACCAAATGACCTGAAATTTGGTATGGGGATACCTTGGACATATGTCTACAAAAAGTCATTCAAGCTTTTGACATACACCACTTTATAATTGGGAAAAATAAGGCTTTTTGGCTATTTTCGGACCAAAAATGTACATTTTTGGCTCCTGTGCCCTAATATTAAATCCGAATGACCTGAAATTCGGTATGGGGATACCTTGGACACATGTCCAAAGAATGTCATTCACGATTTTGACATACACCACTTTAAAGTTATGTAAAATAGGGCTTTTTGGCTATTTCCGGCATTGGAAGGTTCCATTGCTGCATGGGGGTGTAGACTATTGGCAGCCATCGTAGGATAGATCCATTTTCGGTATGGGGGATGTGGTGAAGCCATCTGCTGCATTTGCTCTCAAGCAAATGTCGGCCTTTCTAGTTATGTTTACTTTTGCAGAAGGAAAACACATTGTTTTTGCTCTGTTTCTTCTTCTTCCTCTCCTTCTTCTTCTCCAAACCAATAAGGTCAATGACCAGGACCAGAGGCCTGTCACCATGGTAACTGGTGTTGGGTGACATAATCATTATGTTGCAAGTGCCATGCAGAACTTCAGTTCGAGAGGGGCTGCATGGTCACCATATATATGAATGTGTTTGAGTAAAAATAAAAAATAAAGCAGTTTTGTATTTTGTTAAGCTGGGCTATGTGAAGGTAAACATGCTTTGCAAATGTTTCTAGTATTTTTGTTTGTTTTCTATGCCTTGACTGTGATCGTCCTGTGTGACTACAGATGGGGAGGGACCAGACCCAACAGAACAGCTCACCGCGATCGTTCTCTCGGAGACCAAGATCGCTCTGAAGTCTGGCTACGGGAAGTACCTGGGCGTGAACTCCGAGGGCATGGTGATCGGACGTGCGGATGCCATCGGACCGCGGGAACAGTGGGAGCCCGTGTTTCAGGAAGTATGTCGCACTACATGTGTATGTATGTACTTTGGCAATAGAGTAAGACATGCAAAGAACAAGACAGTAGTAGTAAGTAGTACAACATGTAACTTTTTTTCAAACAGCAAGACATGAATAGAATTATGCTAACACTGCTGATCTTAGGTTAGAATTGACACTGAAAATTTGGAAAGCTATCTTGAATTTGAATTTATTGGAATTGTAACAATACATTGTACAATACATATGCATGTGGGACACAGGCAGCTGTTGCTGGTGTTGTGTCCCACACATAGAAACAAATACAGGACAATACTCATTTTCACTTGACATTGTGAAAACAGTGGTGGCATTTATTGATATACAGTAGCAGTACTAAGGATGTACGGTAACGTTGCTGCTGTATTGTGCATATTGGAAATTGTGGCAACACAGTAACACAAACACAGAGCAAACTAGAAAGGCCGACATTTGCTTGGGAGCAAATACAGCATATTTCAGTCCATCTCCCTCCCACGCAAAAGTGGACTATTCCAAACTCACCCCAGTGCAAAACTGGAAGATTCTCAAATAAATGAATTATATTAGAGCTATGTAATTGATAACAAAGATGCAAGATCAGCACTTTGAATCTCGACAGCTTTACTTACAAAATTTCACATCACTCTTATATATCGCACAATCTTATAGCAGGTATGTAAATACTAACAATGATGAGATTTGATACATTTTGAAGGTCTAATTGCAAAGAAAAGGAAACTATACATAACTTTGTAAATATATATAGATGAACTATAAAACTATACATACATACATATTGAACTATACATTAATTAAATGTACTATGACACTATACATAAATATTGAATAAGATGTACATGACTTACATATACTATAAAACACTACATTCATATATTGAATAATCTACATATGATTGACATGATTATATATATCATACATATACCATGCAACTACAAATATCAGATGTTGAATATGCTATACATGATTTGTGTATACTATGAAACTACTACAGTACCGTTCCCGTTATAGTTACAATCACCACCGTTACTATGATCGCATTTCTAACTCGTTAGTTTTCCGTTACTAACTGGTTACTTTTTCGTTACTAACCCGTTTACAAACGCGCTAGTATTGCATGATTTACTACCGGCGCACTGCTGGAACAGCGGAAGGAACGTTGATCTAGCCTGCGCATGCATTTTACTATATTGTAACGTTTAAAACGTTTTAACGATCACCGGTGCATCAATTAGATCGATATTTTCTTTTGTCACTGTTGCCCAGGCAAGCGTTTCTATAGTTTGTCAACTTTATTTTACTGTTTTTCTCTGTTTGTTTACTTACTTTACCACCGAATATGCAATCCTAGATGATCTGAAGTTATAAATGCCCCGGTCCGCCGTACATTGTAATAGGGGGCGGGCGTGAGGTAACGTTAGGGATGTGCAAAAACATCGCGGAAAATGCCTATAACACTCGAAAAAAGGCAGCATATTTACACGTGCCTGCAAACATTTTATGGCTAATTCTAGGCCAGTTTTGGTGAGTTTTGTTATGTCCTTTTTTGTTTAGAGTGGGACCGGACGGAAAGCCGTGCCGCGACTCCATAATCGTCCGACTCCGTGCACTTCCGTGTTACATTACGTTGTACGTGACCAACAAAATTACGCCAAAGACACCGCAATCCCACATGTACATATATATTTATTCCCGAAAAAAATTCTTTTGAGTACGCATTTCGTCACTAGGATGTTGCTAATTAATCGTAGAAATAAGGTATAAAGCAGCGTAAACCATAGGCGGAAGGCCTCGTCTTTCCTGTCGAAATGCGAGCGATCATGCCGCGATTCAAGCGAGCCGGTCCCGAAGATACCCGAAACGGGAGGGTGCCGAAGGCACCCGGGCGGGTGCCGAAGGCACCCGAAGATCGGCGAAGCCGATCAGCGAGTCCCGAGCGAGGCCGAAGGCCGAGCGAGGGACGGCGAAAGTTAGCGCAAAGGGTGACGGGAAATACTGGATCGCGCAAGGGGTGTCGGGAGATACTCCCGGAAGTAGGACGTAGGCGCGCTCGGAGATCGCTATTATTGGCCAATATTGGGTCCGCGGAGCAGGGGCCTAAAACCCATGCGTAAACATGTGGCTCGAGTTCTCTTCACTTCGCGCGCCCCGGCATGCAGCCGGCTTCGTTCTAGCCAATCAGAGCGCAGGTCATCAAAGGTGAACCAATCAGAGCGTAGCAGTGCTTTGCTACTTGCATATGTTAATGAAGCATGCAGGGTCCGTCAGTGCTGTTTGTGACAGCGAAGCTCTGCTGAGCGCGGCTGGAAATGTGTTTTGCAACTACATGTATATTTTTACGCGGCTTTTTTGACGTTTGACGCTGACTTCGGCACGATATGATCGCACTACCATGTACACGCTACCGGAGGCGGCAAATGAGTGGTCATTTTTACACAATCGTCGAGAAATTTTGGCGTTATGCACCCGGAAGTGCGCCGATATCGGTTTGCGTCCCCTCGATTTTTGACAGTTTCCCCCATCAAAATAAGAAGCAAAACTACCGATATTAAATAGAACCATGTATTACAATTATCATTTCAACATGATTGATCTATAACATATTCCTTTCTAATATAAGTATAATATCATCATGGTTGTGGAAAGTCCTCAGGTAGCGAACCATTTAGTCTGAAGAGCGGCCCAAATTGGAGCAGGACTCCTACCCGGCATGAATCAACTCTACTCTACTCTACTCTACTCATGAGTTCTTGTGCCGCGCCGGGAGTGACGAATATTTTCTTACAAGTTACACATACCTTCCGAAAAACTTTGCGGCACCCAGGATTAGGATGGTCTGCATATTCCCTCGTCGTGATTGTAGATGACTGATGACGTAAAAATCTAGGTAACGTTACATAAAATTGAATGTGTGGGTCATTGTGCACGACGTGCAACGTGACCTCAGGTAACCCGCAATGTTCGATGTGTTCGATGGCCAACGGCAGATAGAACGGGCATTCTTTAGATCGAACGTGGAACGGGTACAGCACTTTTGGCCCCTTTTTTGGCTGAAAATAGCCATTAAAGTCCCCTAAATGAGTCATTTGGAAATGGTGTATGCCAAACATGTGACTGCTATTCTGTAAACACATGTTCAAGGTACCCTTATACCGAATTTCAGATCATTTGGTTGTAAAACCAGCGCTCAGGATCCAAAAATCCATTTTTTGTCGAAAAATGCCCCAAAAAACCTTCATAAAAATTTTCAAAGGCATGTATCAAAAAAATGAAAAAAACGCCTAGGGGTATTGGCCCACTCTACCTCCTTGCCAAATTTCAGGTCATTTGACTAAAAAATGACAGAGTTGAATCCCTTTGACTGTGTGGCAGGAGGAGAAGGAGAAGGAGAAGAAACATGAGGGAACACAATATATTTCATCCATGGTATGGACTGAAATATAAAAACAAGTTTTGAGTAGTGATAATGATGTGTTGTGTACTGTCTGCAGGGGAAAATGGCACTGTTGGCAGGAAACAGCTGTTTTGTATCGTGTAACGACAGCGGTGACATCGTCGCAACCACCAAGACAGCAGGAGAGGGGGAGATGGTCAAGGTAGGTTTATTTGGATCCACATTTACGTAGCTTACATGTAATGATGTACATGACAGTAGCTATTCTGGCTGTGGTGCATAAGTGGGACATGGCTTGTTTATCATCAGCCTTCCTTTTATTATGTTTACCGAAGGAAAACATATTGTTTTTGCTCTAATTCTTCCTCTTCTTCTTCTCCAAACAGTGACCTATGACCCAACCAATGACATGATTTGTTGACGTCTGTAACCATGGTGACTGGTGTTGGGTTACATAATGTTGTAATTTCATGGTCTGCTCTGCTCCTGTCACCATATGATAGTACCTAGTACATGTATGTGAATATGTTTGAGTAAGAATTAACAGAGAAGACCATGTCCGGAGGTAAACATTATGCATTTGCTTTGCAAAAGTTACTTCTCTAGTTTATCATTTATTCTTGTCCTTTATTTTTCATTTTCCCTACATGCATCGATCTTTCTCTTAACATATTGTTGGCTTTCAAATGTTACCACATTACGTATGTCAAGCTTATGTATGATTTTGATAGTAATGTCAGAAAAGCAGTCTTCCCTTTACACATATGGTAAATTCAAAACCATTTTTTGGTACGGTTTTGTGATTGCGAAAATTTAAATGTAAAGAAATGAGTTTTTGTTGTTATGTTCTCCCCACAGATCAGAACAAACATTGAACGAGTCAAGAAACAAAAAGTGGAGGTACCTGATGAGGAGAAAGGGTCACTGAAGGAGGCAGAAATCAACTATGTGTAGGTTTCTTCTTCATCCATGATGATAAAAATGATGATGTTGGTAAAGATGTAACTGTATGATAATAATATTATTCATTTTGTATTTTGAAATGTTCAGTCCCTAACTTCACAGTTTGCAGTAGATGTCTGAGACCAGCAATTTTTTATTGAAGGGGGCACACCCCAGTTTATTTTGGGTCTCAATTCGATTCTGCATACCCTCAACTCTAGCGACCGCCTCTTTCAGGAAATACCTCTTAAGCCAAAACGCTCTGTTTGCAAATGAAGGATATCCCTCTAGCTACGAGAACAATAGAATTTCAATTTCGTTCACCTCTCACATTTCAATAAATTTTAGGGGGAAAGAGAATTTTTCGATGAAAAATGATGCCAAAAATTGGCCATTTTCACGTGGAATTAGACCCATCACCCAGAATTTAGCCACTAATATGACTTATAATTATATGGTCAGAAAGAGAAAACCCTTATGTATTATTAAGAAAGGTATAAAGAAAATCCTAACACTGAGATTATCATAATAGCCCGTCGCGCGAGGCATAGCGACAGCACCCCCAGAACGCAAGAACGCATACAACACATATCTACAAATGTAGGTCAAACCGAAGCACCGCGCTCAGGGCGGAAGGACACCCGGAAGTAAGCCTTGGGCCCGAAATCAATTTTCACACAAAACACGCCACTTCTTACACTTTCCAGCCATGTTAGTAGTTAATACCATTCTGCAGCAGATTATGAGAAATGTGAACTCAAACATGAACCACCGGAACCCCTTTGTCACTTTTTTTCTGGGTACTACCTTGGACCCCTGTCGCGGAAGTGTGTGCACCGTTAAATGAGGTGATTTATTCTTCATGAAACATACATTTGTACTGTGTTTTTATTCCATACAATACTTTTTGACATGTGCAGGAAGAAGTTCCAAAGTTTCCAAGACCGAAAGTTAAGAATCAACCAAGATGACAGGTCCAAACTTAAGAAGGCTAAGGAGAAAGGCACCCTACACGAGTCTCTTTTAGACAGGTGAGCTCTTACATTGTCTTGTAAAATAAGGACACTTACTCTAGGTTATTTTCTAGTTTTAGGAATACATGTACTAAAGTACATGACGGTGTACGTGTAAATCGAAATGACTAGAAAATATTGACTTTTTGTATCATATGAATTACATAATGCAGCTTTAAGTTTGAATAGTTTTAACCTAACTTAACAAAGTTTATACATTTACTACAATGCTATTGCTATTGTGGATCTTTATTATGTTAATAAAGATGATGACTGTATATTTTTCATTGTGTTGACAGGAGAGAAAAGATGAAGGCTGACCGATACTGCAAGTAACAAGACAGAGGCACAATGCAGGAGGGGGGCAACAATGATCTAGCTGGATTTTTTAGAACTTAAATATCTAATACACTCAATGGTTGTTGTCTTGAAAATCATGTGTATTTTTAAACAAGTTGGTTTGTTTTTTTCACTAAAAATACCAACAGTCTACTAAAAACACATTCAAGTTGAAAAATGCTGAAAATTTAGACAATATCAATTGTACAGTAGCAAGTTTCAAGAAAAAATGAAAGCAAAGGAGCCACTCCAGTTGATTTTCCTATGTATATTTTATTCCATATCTTGTGTTTCATATTTCAGAATCCACCAATGGTTAGTCTACTAAACAAAGTCAGAGCCTTTTAAAGAAGGATCTAAGGTTTCAATTATATTGGTTGTTGGGTTTTAAGCTGTGGACCAAGTAGACTGGACAGGTGCACAATCACTGATTGCAAAGTCAGCTCAGGAAAAATGATGATCAGGATTTTTAAAGATAAGATTTTGCTCATCGAATTCTTGTGCACAGTAAGAATGTCAGGAATGTTCTGGAACTTTGCGACTTGTAAGCCAAGACAAAGGATAAACAAAAGAAAAACATGAACTGCTGATAGTTTAATTTCCAGGGAAGTGAATTTACATGGTTTTTCTGCCCGTGTCATAATTTCTAGCTTTTAGCTAATAATAAAGAACCCTTAACTGTATTTTTCTAACTTTTGCTACAGCCAAATGGTTAGAAGTCAAGATATTATTTTAACCTGCCACATATTTGCCATTACAACAATAATTACTATAAGTATGTATTTGAGGAGTTTTTAAAACTTGTTCATTCAGGTTTCCTTTAAAATTAACTTCAACTTGTCCATCATTTCACTTACAACATTTGTAAAGTGGTAAGAAGACAGTGATTTGTGAATTGTAATATATTGCTGACTTCATTGCAACAAAAAGAAAAGCATGTCACCTTAAACTTTTGCGCTCCACATTACTAGTGCTGCATACCTAAACCCACATTTAGGTTCAGGTCCGGATTCAAGTCAAGAGGTTTAGGTTCAGTTCCGGACTTGTAAGTCCGGACCTAAACCCATGGCATATACAAAATTGCATGTTGGCAACCTTGCAATGAATGTTGTCTGGGTGAAACTTTGGCCACATAACATGGAGGCCGGTGCTTGACGATGCCCGATGGCAATGTTTTCTTCATTTTGCAGCACAGATTTTGCAATCTATGGAAGGTTTTACATGTAGGTGGTTTGGAAAGAAAAGGGGTAATATGTGAAATGGTCTTTTATGGTAATAAGTCCAGACTCGGTTCTTGACTTTTAGGTTTTTTTGGACTTGAACCTAAACATTCTTACAAGACCGGATCCAAGTCCAGTGAACCGGTATGCAGCACTACACATTACTGAAATAAAAATTTGCCACTATGATAATCACAATAGCCCAAACCTTACGTTGATAATTTATCATGATCATGATCATCACAGAAATCTACTTCATCTCTTGATGACACTACAGCTGGCTGGTTAACTAACAATGTGGCCATTTGCTCCTGTAAGTCACTGATGTGGTGACTGTTCACACATTAGTTGGTCTTGTTGGCAATGGGTTGCTTCGGGCTGCAAGAAGAGAGAAGAATAAAGCATGTTTGAGTAGTTGTTTACTTCAGGTTATTGTTTGTTTGTTAAGGTATCCTAGCTATCCAACATATTAAACACTGAGATACATCAAAGACTGCAGTAGGGAAGTTAAAAATTGTAGGTATTTACTTGCCATAGATACTGAAGCAAATTTTAAGCTGTATACTAGTAATACTAGTATGTAATCAACACATTTATACCAGCTATTTACTTATGCCTGTACAGGGCTTGAAATGCTGGGTGCATGTGCACCTTAGTGCACCCAAAAGTGAAGCTGTGCACCCATTTTTTTTCTGTGGGTGAACTGATGCACCCAAATATTTCTGTGGGTACATCTCAAATTTATGATAGTATACAGGATATTCTTGGCATCTAAGTGTCAGAAAAATGATTAAATCTGACTTTGAGGTGAATTTAGATTTTGAAGTTAGCTCCTATTTCAGATTCAAGAACAGAAGAGGAGCAGTAAGACCTGTAATTAGGTTTTGTTCTATAATGGTGCACCCCAAAAAAATTTTGATGCACCTAAATTTTTAGGTTGGGTGCACGTATTCCCAAAAATTAATTTCAAGCCCTGCTGTATCACACTCACCCCTCAGTTCTTGGTCCCCACGTAGCTTGTGGCCTTCCCCGTTTTCTTCAGTGTCTCCAGGATTTCCTCAGAAGACAGGCTGGAGGTCACAAACACCTTCTTACCCTCGAGGTCAATGTCAAACTTCTCCACACCTGTGGAGGGATGGTACAGAAGAGGGTTATACAAGTGAGACACCTGGGAATGTCATCATCATCATAATATCAATTGGTCATCAGTTGATGGGAGAGACAGCATGATTGGCTTTTGAGCCTATGATACATCTAATTTTTTCTTGCTACTATGCAATGCTAGCCTTACTCTTAACAATAAGTGTGTTGGGTTCAGAAAGGGTACATCACATATGGGATCAAAGGCTTTGTACCTTCTCCAAAAAAAATCCAGGTCTGGACCTTGAAACCTATGTAGGTACATGACTGTAACATATTGAGATTTTAAGGCTTTTAGGCCACACAGACTTAATTTTATGGATGACATCCGCACGCGCATTGATTTTCTGCTGTTCTCAAAAAAAAAATCACGTCCACCGAGGCTCTGGCCTGGTTCTAGGCCTGGTAAGTCTATGGTAGTTAGCAACAATACGGAGCCTGTGGTAACTATGGAGGACGGCACCCAGGCTGCCGAAGGTAAGTTACACACGTACAGTACCGATTCATAAATTCCGCAAAACGCCAGCATGTGGCGGCTTGTCGTCTACGTCGCTATGTACTGCCGCAAATTCACAATGCCAGCGGTTTAGTAGCATTTCTATTTTTGTCCGGGATTTTTTTATTCGCCCCCGCGGGCCTTCAGAGGATGTCATCCGTACAATTAAGACGGTGTGGCCTTATATGAGGTTTTTGTTACAGATTAAATCAATGTATAAAATAACTAGCAAATAAAGGCGGCCTCTTAGTCTCACCCTCCTTTTTGGTCAGCACCCTACTGACGGCACCAGAGCACCCTCCACAGGTCATCTCCACTGTGAACTCATGGGTCTGTGGAGAGAAATCAGACAACAGTCATTCAGTCAACCAAGCACAGTGAGACCTCAGGGTCTACTGGGAACTAATCTCCAAGTAGATACAGGGGAAAGATCATAATTGTCTTAGTACATGTACTGTAAATCTTTAAATACGTATGTCTGCAGTGGTTTTATTATCATGAGGACTAATCTTGATGCAAAAACATGACAAGGCAACTACATGTGTTTGAAATGTGCATGTATTACTGCTGCCGACGGCTAGCTAATTTTAAAGTCTCCGCGAAAATATATGAAGTTTATATACAGTATATCACAGGTTTTCAGATAAAGCACTTAGACTTTCCTGCATAATTTATTATTATATTGAAATCTTGGTGATAATGAAATCTTGATGATGACAAAAACATAACTAATTTGCCTGAATCGATGAAGCGGGTACATCTACAAACACTAGCCTGTGTTACACACATACATACTCTCGGCCGGAAGTTAATGACAATTTGGGGGCGGCAACTTCGGGACGGCCGGCCGCCAGGAGCGCGATTAGTCAGGCTATACAAACACCGGTTATCACAAATGTTATATGTCCTTATTAAGTACATTCACCCATGCACAACGTGCACGTGATAACATGATATTTAAAACTATGCCAGACTTTGGACCCCTCACGTTATCGTCTGCCAATCTGTCTAGACAGCTACTCCCGCAGCTGGTATGGACTAAATCTCGTTGTTTTCCGTGAATCAAAACAGTTGACAACCGCTAAAATTTCATATTCTAGGTCGGAAATGGAAAATAATGAGTACTGACTTCTAGTGCAACACAAAGCAATAGTTTGGAGCAAACAAATAAGATGTTAACACGTGTCCAAACCAGCTGGAAACAAAAAAAATTTCCTACCTGTGTCGCCATCTTGATTTTTCAGGTGCCGGAACTCTCGTATAATCTCGCGTGATCAACACGCCCACGAGATCAGTAAAGTACATTCAACTTATAGGGGTGTTTAGATATTTTTTTTCCAAAAATTACAATTATCAAATCCAGTTGCATTGTATATACATGATATTGTACTAGACTTGATACATAAAAATATGGGATAGCTTAATGAACTTCTATATCTTTGAAATGTGCTTAATTTGTAAACCAATAATTCCTCCTGTTGTCTAATGGTAGAATCTAGTGGTAACTTCAGGATCATATGACCATGCTGTAATGTTTTGTTGTATGTAATGTAGGACTTTGGTTCATCATATGATCAGATATTTGTGAGACTTTGCGCCTTTCTAGACATGTGACAGGTGCTACTGTCAGCTGCAGGTGTAACAGGTAGATACAGGTGAAGCTCAAGTGACAGGATGGAAGTTTTGCTGCGGTTTGTTGGGATCCTGGTGTGCCTTGCGGTAGTGGTCCAGACACAAGTTCCTCCGGTAAGTTTGTTTGTTTGTTTTCGACCTTAAGATGTGTTAAGGTTGCGCATGTAGCCCCGCCCATTGTGAAATGTGAAGGAAGTAGTCAGTTTATTGTCAAAAATTCAACTCATATTGGTCAGTATTCCATGGGTACCTTAATTTTACAAAGAGGTTTAATTGATTATTAATTATTATTGATAATACGATGATTAAAGTAGGAAAATTTTCAGTCACAACATGGTACCCACTGTTTGTAGAATTTTAAGTACATGTAACGATATGGTATATAGACACATTGCAAATCGAATGTTGTGTACATAAATTAAATTATTTAAATGTTTCTTTTTTCAGTTTGTAGAAAAATGTGAACATGGAATGTACCCACCTAAGGCTGAGTGAGTATTGTGCATTATTATAGTTACTGTAACTTACATTTGTACAATCTCTGTGAATTTTGGACCCTTAGACTTAAATAAGGTACAGTAAGAGAAAATATACCTGTTTGTAAAGTAGAATTGGTATTTAGTAGTTAATAAATTGACCAGAATATGTTTCATAAGTTATAATATCTCCCCAGATCAAAGGTTGCCAGTTATGTGATTAACCTGGACCTCCCCCCTGCTGAGAGATGGAACAGTCTGGTCAAGGAGAAGGCACCAGAGGTCAGGAACCAATTTTGTTTACAGATCTTTTACTAAGGCCACACCAATTTAATTTCTTGGTTAACGGATTCGCCCGCTTCATGTTTTTTCTGATTTGCAAATAAAAATAAAAATTCAGAATCAACTGCAAAATGCACATATTTTGCCCTGAACAGTTGAAAACAGTCCTTTTTTTCCTAGTTGTTACAGTTATTCCATCTTTCAATGGTATCATTAAAAGTTCCAAATTCATTGTTTAAATTTTGAACCAGCCTGGTGTGTTGACTCCATGGCTCCTATTGTTACAGTACCAATTTGGGCCATAATAGGATGCCTAGGCCTGTTTTTATTTTTTTTGCCTGCCCGCTCCATTATTTTTCTAGAAAAATCCGTTAACCAAGAAATTAAATTGGTGTGGCCTTAACTATATTACATGTATAGTGGAACAAAATGTTAGTCTGGTACTGTAACATTTACTTATTCTAGCCATCAATTGACAGAATTTTGCTGCTCATAACAGAAAGTTTTGCCCAATCTACATGTATATATATTTACTAGTATCCAAGGACGTTCAACATCCTTGATTTATCTTAGAGCCCAGCCTAGCAAAATGTAATACTCTAACCTCATAACTTTCTTACTGTAACATTTTATTTTTGTGCTAGGGCAAATAAAAAAAAATTAATGGTTTACATTGCTATGTTAACTTTCCAGATAAAGGATATGATAGCAGAGATCAAGGCCTTTGCTGGAGCGTTTGGTAACGGAAGCATCATTGCTATGGTGGACAAATACCTGGTAAGTTTGGCTCTTCAAACTTTTACGTGTACCATTAACTCTCATACTCCTACAGGCCTAGGGGACCCAAAAACTTCCATATTAAGAAAATGGTGTTACCAAGTATCAAGGCCTTCCAAACAATGTCTTGAACACCAGTCCTGGATATCTGAAGTGCTCATACATGTGCCTCAGGTGATGCTGCATAGTATCTCTTTATGTCGCCTTTCTTTAAACGTTGCAGTCTTATGTCAGTTAAGTTACCAGTGGCAGAGTTATGAAAGTTACTAACTATATGTGTGACTATAAAAAATTCTTATTGCTGCAAGAGTGCTCACTGTAGATGTTCAGTGCTCTAAATACTGGATGCATGTGCACCTTAGTCAGTTAGTGCACCCAAATTTGGAGCTGTGCACCCAATTTTTCAGTGGGTGCACCAGTGCACCCAAATATTAGGTATGGAAAGATGTTTAATGTTTTACTATATACATTTTTGTAGTATATACAGCATATTCTTGACATCTTAATGTCAGAAAAATAATAAAATCATTGTCATATTACTTTTCTTTAGAAATGAAACATAATCTAAATTTTTGCTGACATTTTGACATTTTCTACCTACATGTATCAGGGCTCGAACTTAACTTTTTTCCCTACTGTCCCAGAATTGTCCCAAAAGTAATTTCCAACTGTCCCGAAATGTGAATGGACTGTCCCAACCTGGTTTTCATGAATTATGTATAAAACTATAACAACAACTGTAGAGCTTAGTCAGAGTGTAGTATTGCTGTATAAGCCAATTGACAATGAAATTAACTCAAATCCAACTCAAATTCAAACTTGTCCAGTTTACAGGGGTATCCCCAGAACGCGCAGTGCGTTGCAGGGGGAGGTCTATCGGGGGAAGCTATTGCATTTTGTCTTTTCTGAACACAAAATCATCTCCGGCAACTTCAGTTCTACATTTTCTGTACAACTGCAGACTTGTAAAGCTGGAGAAATGTTAAAGATCTGTACTTAATTCTATAATATCCTCTTCATGTTCGAAAAAATTGTATTATCAACACTTAGTTTTGAAAAAAATTGGGCATAGGTTCCCCGGATGACCCCTAACCGGGGGCCAACGGTGCTTCCACAAGTTCAAAAAATACATGATACAAACAGTACATGTATTTACTACCTGGAACTTGGAGCAAGTATTCCAAAGGTGTTACCGATATAACCAAAGCTAGTGACCCAGTAATATTTCCTTAAACCATTTTCAAAAAAAAAAAAAAAATCACATATTGACACAACTAAACAAATAAAAATGTGATTATGTCTATAAACTCATACTCAAAAACAATTATTGAGAGACACTCGGATCGCGGTATTAATTATCTCCCCCAATGTATCAAGTATCAATGTAAAACTAAAAGTCCTTCACAGCATCCAACCACACATTCATAGAAACAATAACATATTATATTCTGATAATAGAAACCAATAAATTCGTAAATTTTCACAGTTTCGTTTGCAAATTAACGTTCTAAAATATTGAGTGAATTTTTATTTCTGTTGTTGCCGAAAAATATTTTTTTCATGCGTTTGAAGTATCATTTTAGCTCGTTGTAATATCTTGTACGTTTGGATGCTATCTAATGACCTTTCAGGTCATTTTTGTAGTGAAAAGCGTCGGCCATTTTATCTGTCTTTCAAATGGATTTCTAGCTGTTTTTTCGGACAAATGTCAACCGTTTAAAACATTTTACGGCCTCAAAAACCCATATAATGAGGAAATCAAGTTATAGTTGTTATTTTCATGCGTAACATTTCTTCTGGGGTGGATTATTTCTCCGTCGAGCCGCCAAAAACTAGCGTAGCTCGCGCGGCCCGATCCGTGCGATTAGCGGCGTAGCGGCTCGATCCATGTCGCCCGGCGGAAGAAAATTGGAATGACGAGCACATTTATCAGGGAAATATTGGCATAAAATCGCTAATTTTGAAATTTATCGCAGAAATATTGGAATAAAATCCTTAACTTTCGGCAGGCTTTTCGGGAGCCGAAAGCCGGGTTGCGCGCCCGATAAACGCATGAAGGGCAGACATTCTAACTTAGGGTCTCATACGCCAATTTCGCCGCCCCGTAGACTTACACGTTAAAATAGGCCACTATTTTGGCTGTCAATCCAATCAAAAAATCGTATATCAACAGATTTTTTGCTGTCTATACCAAGCACACGTATCATGTAAACGATAAAAAAATTTTTCCCCAATTCTAACCGCTAGTTCGATATTTACGTCATGTATAACTGCAATTACCCATGACCCGGAAGAGGCCCTCTTTTGGCTCACTGTGCCCGACCGCAGTACTCAGGTCAAAATAAGCGTATACGTCCGACAATCGCTCGGACGCCGAAACTTCCCTGCCTGATCCTGTCAGTAATAAACAGGCTTTCACCTCAAATCCTTTTTAGATCAGGTCTGAGTGATGAAAGGGATTTTATGGTGGACCTAAACTCACGCTGTTCAGGCACAATCATTTTTTTGTCGGGACTCTTTTAGAGACTACACGTGCGGAGTAATTCCGGTATGAGACCTTAGTTGATTATTTTTCTATTGTCCCAAAAGTGTCCCAAAATGATTTTTCAGGTGTCCCGGTCTAAATTTTAGTGGCCAGGGGACATCGGGACATCGTTAAGTTCGAGCCCTGATGTATCTTATATGGTGAACCCAAAAAAACAGTTTGTGCACCCAGTTATTTAGGTTGGGTGTACCTATTCCCAAAAATGAATTTCGAGTTCTTAAAATATTAGTTAAAATATTCATGGCAACATTGTTTTTGTGGTCACCTCTGCATCACTAAAAAAAGTGCCACAGCACTGCCAATATGTCTTATAGATTGGTTTATTGTCTTATTAGTATCCTGTAAAGCTCTTTGCAGCCCTGGGGCTGAATTGCTCTTCACTGTATAATAGTACAATTATTAACTATTTTCTTGTCATCCAGGCCCCCCTAGCCGACACCCTTCCTTACCCATTCGCTGATGAGATCAAGGGCATAGCCAAGGCCACAGACATCCCTCTAGGTATGAAAGCGAAAAGTACCATTAGTAGTTAGTCAAAACAGAATTTTTTTCCTGCATGGTATGTTGTCAGAATCTCAATACATACGGGGTAGTTTGGAATAGCTGTATAAATGGTGTCTTAAAAAATACATTATCAATGCTGCATAAATTCACAAATCTACATACATATTTATCAGAAGTACGTGTAGTCGAAAAACAATGTATGCTTACTTTCTAAGCAGATACATACAATTGTATTTCACATATTTGATTTTTGTGTTTTGCATTTAAATTATAATCATTGTGTAAGTAAGTGATATTTGGGATGAACGTTTGGTACTTGGTATCATTGTTTTCTTTTTTCTGTTAGGTGAGGTGGTCCTCTTCAACGTTTTCTACGAATTTTTCACTGTCTGCACATCCATAGTCGCTGAGGATCCTACAGGTATTGGTAATGTTATTGTCTAATAACATTGAAACAAACAAACAAACTGAACAGTGACATTTTCAAAAAAAGTTGAAATTCCTACATACACATACATACATTGTACATGTAATAACAAAGTCTATTTTTCCATTTGTGTCTGCAGGAAAGTTGTTCCATGCCAGGAACCTGGATTTTGGGCTGTTTCTGGGGTAAGATAGTTGTTACTATGCATTATACTTCATGAAAGTCAGAATTTTGAAAAGTCGAATATGCTATAAAAGGAATTAACTGGCACTAGAATTTCAGATGGATTCCAGGCACCTCCCACTCCAGCCTTGTCTGGGGAGTGGTTTCAGAGAAGTATTTTATAATATAAATGAACAGCAAGGCCCTACAAATTATTTTAATAATTTTGAATTAATTTGAAAACCTCCAAAAGCCAAGGTGAATCCTTAAATTAGTTAAGCCATGCAGTCCTTGCTGTAATGTATATACCAGCCAAACAAAATTAATGAATAAAACATTTGTCCACAGGTGGGACATTAAGAACAACACCTGGGCACTGAGTGAGAAACTGCGACCAATCGTGGTGAACCTGGACTGGCAGCGTGGCGGGAAGACGGTCTTCAAATCCGTTAACTTTGCCGGCTACGTGGGACTGCTGACCGCTGTCAAACCTGTGAGTAAGATATACAAGCTTGGTTTGATGGCTAGTTAGTACAGTAACTGTAGTTCTAACAGTAACTGGGTGGGGGTGGGGGGGGGCGTGTGGCGTAACAACAGAGCGTTCAGCCAAGAGGTCCTGAGTTCGAATCCTGCCATAGTGCCATGCCACCAATCTTGTGCCCTTGGAAAACTGTCACTTTTCCCAAATTTCCTCACTTTATTCAGGCATAAATGAGTATGTCTGTTACGTTGTCCGTTCATGTATTTGTCTGCATTGGAGGCGGCATAAAATAAGTTGAAAAAAAAATGTTGGAATAGAAAAAAAAACCTGTAGTGCAGAGCAGACAGTTTTTTTCTTAGGGTTTTGACATGTGGAAAGAAATAAGAGACACTAAGAGTAATTAATGTACTACTTCTTTTTATCATCACAGAACTTAAAAATTGCAATTGTCTGACAGTATGTTCCTTCCCCAGCAAACCTTTACCTACAGTATGAATGAGAGGTTTTCTGCTGATGGAGGGTACATCGGTGAGTAAAACTTGCATTTCCTGTCATGATACCGTGTTATTTTCCAGAGGAATTAATGATACAAAGCAAAGGTATGAGTGAAGAGAAAGAAGTCACTTTGGTCTATTAATTCTTTAATTTTTTTTCTCCTTCCTCAACTTTTACACAATTTTGCTGTATCATCATTATGATAGTTATTGGCTCTTGCCTAGAATGATTCCAATATGATTTTCACATGATATAAGTTGATTAACTGATTGATTGGATTGAGTAAATATTGGTGGATAGATAGGATTGATTGAACTGATTCATTGATTGGCTGATTTAACTGATTGGACTGATTGATTGGCAGGTCTAATTGAGTGGATCCTGGGGCAGCGTGATGGATCGTGGATGGGGTTCCTGACAAGGGAGGTTTTGGAAAATGCCACCAGCTTCACAGAGGCGGAAACCTGGCTGTCCAACAGGACCATGCTGGCACCTGCCTACTTCATCCTGGGGGGGACCAAGTCAGGAGAGGTGACCTAGCTTTTGTCGTCCATAAGCATGCCCGTAGCCAGGATTTTTAATGAGGGGGGGGTTCTTCCCACTGCTTGAGGGGACCTCAAGCGCCGTAGACGCGAGGTTCCTAGGGGGGTTCCGGGGTCATGTTCCCCCGGAAAATTTTGAAAAATGAACCTTCTAAAATGGCATTTCGTGCATTTTTGAGAGGATTTCAAAGAAAAAAACAGAGATAAGTTTTTATCCAATGACAAAGGGAACAGTTTTTCTATGATTCCAGTCTATCTTTTCAAGAAAAATCTTGGACCTCTACATAAAAAGTGGATCAAAAAGTGGACCTTAACATTCTTCCCCCCAAACCCCCCCTGGCTACGGGCATGCATAAGTGTTTCTTTGTTCGAGACTTTGAGAGTTTGAACCAGTGTTCTAGCCAATGTGTGTCTTTCCTTCATTTTGCGCAATTTTTCCACTCTCCACAAAAATTTTTACCAATCCATCATCTCTTAAAGAAAAAAGCATGTAAGGATCATATGGAAAATATGTCATTAAACTAAGCTTTTAAAGTCTACCAGCAAACACAACAACAAGTCAATTTATCCACTTCTTTTTTCTTTGCCCACATTTGCAGGGAGCCATCATTACCAGGTCTCGGGAAAAAGCACTGGACATCAAGAGGTAATGTTCAACTCTCTTAGTCTTACTCTTGCAACACAGTGGACCTGCTTCCACCTGTTGTTTATAGTTGTGACTAGTACTCCTGAAAGAGTTGGCCACTTAACTAAAAGAGACATAGAACATGTACATTATGAAATGTAAATATGGCATTTACAATACAGAAGTGACCACAAGACATTATCGCTACATTGTTTAGCATTATAAGACTAAGAATGCCTCATGTTCTCAATATCCCTGCTTACCGGTATTATGCATGATGTACAAAATGACTAATAAACTGGTGTACGTCCCAACTAGTAAGTACCTAATACCAGCCCAGAAGAGAACAAGAAATAGTCATGCCTTCAAGTACCAGAGTTATCAACCAAGGATTAAGGTGTTCAAAAATTCATTCTTTCCTAGAACTATCGCAGAGTGGAACTCACTGTCACCAAGTACAGTAGGGGCATTGTCAATAGATAAGCTTTAAACAATGTCTAGAGCTAGAAGTTCAAGGGTTAGGTGTTACAAGTCGATCGGTGTAATATAGCCAGCTGCCGCCGTGCCGCGTGCCTGCGAAGCTGGTGTGTTACGCCGAAAGGCGGTTATACCGGCTATACAGATACAGATGTTAATTAGTAAGCCCTTGCCTCCCCCCTCCCCAGACTGGACCCAGCCAATGGCAGATGGTTCCTCCTCCAGACTAACTACGACAACTGGGAACAACCTCCATTCATTGATGACAGGCGCACCCCGGGGGATAACTGCATGGCCAACATGTCCATATCAGTAGGTCTTCTTTTTTCTTTATCAGGCCACACCAATTTAATTTATTGGTTCTCGGATTCGCCTCTTTTTTTTAATGTTCCACGTGTTTTTATAAGTAGTGCAACTTTTATTGCTTACAGAATACGGACCTCCCCCACATCTTCGATGTGCTTTCCAGCAAGCCAGTTCTGAACAAGGTACTGACACTGAAATTACAGTCTGGCCTGGTGCGTGCATCTGTGTACCATGTTCATTAGTTGGCTTAATATATGTATGTACAAAGTATGTGTGTGTAAGGTGGAAATAGAGGGATATTTTTATACTATTATCTCCAATTTCTTCAATTAATACAGACCGTTTCAATGAATGATGAAACTGTCATTTTGCCCCCCCTCCCTCTCCAGCTGACGACCTACACAGCACTGATGCAGGTGGATGAAGGTCACCTTGAGTCTTACATCCAGGAATGTCCTGACCCCTGTATCCCCTGGTGATGACCTCTGACACCATATCCCTGGTGATGACCTCTGACCCTGGTTTCCCATGGTGATGACCCCTGTGTCTCCTGGTGATGACCTCTGACCAGTTTCCTCTGATGATGACCCCTGGTGATGAACTCTGACCCGTTTCCCCTGGCGATGACCCGTATAATCTAGTCTCATACTGATGTTCTCTCAGGAATTTCTTCAGAGATTACGCAATACCTAAAAGTGTGATGCTGCATTTCCGTCAAACAGATACTAAAAAAATTCTGACCCCCCCAAAATAATCATTGAGTACTAAATGTCCAACACTCAGAGAAAACGAATACTTACAAAACACTTAAAAACAAGTCAATAATACCCCAACATGCTTATGCTGGAGCTACGATGTGTTGAAATGCAAATGAAGGTTACTAGTATCATGGTGGTTATCACCTACCTGCTTTTTGGAATATGGAATTGGAAAGTGAGTGAAAAAGAATCTTGCTTTTAACAAATTAATATACAGTTATGTTGAAGTACAAATTGTAAATATTGAGATTACAGAAAAGTGATATTAATTGTTAGATTTTATATTGATGGATTATAGGTTTTCAGAGTCGATATCATAGTTAATAATTTAGTTTGTCACACAAAATGAAAACTGTTGTTGTATTAACTGTACTCATTGTCAGCAATACTTTTTACATTATCTAGAATGTTTTTGTAACTTTGGTGTTGGAAACATTTAATAGATATACATTACACTAATTGGAATTTATATGCATAATTGATGAAATGCAATAAATCAAGACATTTACAAAACTCTGAACATATAGTTTATTTATTTATTTTCCGCCATACATTTATTCAAACAGGGTTCCCCAGTGATGACACTGCTTTTCAGTGGGGCCCTATATTACACAAGTAAACAAAATACACAAAGTCACATACAAACAATAAAATTAGGATACAATAAATAATGATGAGGCCACACTAATTTAATTTGTTGGTTCTCAGATTCGCCTCTTTATTTTTTTCTGATTTGGCCACACCAATTTAATTTCTTGGTTAACGGATTTGCCCGCATCATTTTTTTCTGATTTGCAAATAAAAATAAAAATTTAGAATCAACAGCAAAATGCTCATATTTTGCCTGGAACAGTTGAAAACAGTCCTTTTCATCCTAGTTGTTACAGTTATTCCATCTTTCAATGCAGTGGTATCATTAAAAGTTCAAAATTCATTGTTTTGAACCAGCCTGGTGTGTTGACTTCATGGCTCCTATCGTACCATTTAGGGCCATAATAGGATGCCTAGGCCTGTTTTTATTTTTTTTCGCCCGCCCACTTCATTATTTTTCTAGAAAAATCCGTTAACCAAGAAATTAAATTGGTGTGGCCTTTAATTGCAAGAAAAAAAATTCTGGTTCTGAATCAACTCAAAAATGCTCATATTTTGCCCCCAACAGTTGAGGAAAGCCCCTTTCTTTCTAGGTGTTACAGTTTTTTTTCCATCTATCAATGCAGTGGTATGATAAAAGTTCAAAATTCATTGAATGTTAACCCAGCCTTTTGTGTTGACTTCATGGCTCCTATTAAATTGGAGTGGCCTAATAACAATGATATTAATAAAGAAAATAAAGTAACTATAAACAATAACAATAATCCTCTCCAGGGCGCAAAGCCCGGGCTGGGTTTATGGAGATCCTGGGTAGCCCAGTAATAAATAACAATAATAAATAATAATAATAACAAAATATACAAATTCATACAATCTGCCTATGATGAAAGAAAAGCCATACATAAAGTATCTGGAATCAAATAAAAGACAGGAAATAAATGGAGAAAAACGCCTTTTTTCAGAACTCTTTGATCCCAATATCAAACGAATTGTAACATTAATATTAATATCCTTCTAGAAATTTGATTGTCTACATCTTTCTATAGCAAGCCCCACGCTTAGAACAGTTTTGTTTACAAAATCCACATCTACAGATGGTGTCAAGATTACACTTAGAAAGTCACCCTATGATTATAAATTGCGTCAAGGTTTTAAAACTACTGACATTCTGTTACTGACTGCGTGAATTTTACACCAGAAGCGACCTGGCTAAAGCAGTATACGTCATAATGTTTCTCTAAAAGACTTTTGAAATATAGACAGAACATATGGAATTGAAGCCTGGTTGTGCACAAAAACATTAGCTTCACCTTATCCAGAATTCCGAATACAGAACAATAAAAAACACAGGTTTGCCATGCTCTCCCTGGTAGTATGAGACATTGGCTTGCACTTACATAATGTATGTACTGCATGTAATCAAGGACATCCTTGATGTAATGTACAGTTCTACAAAGGCCCAGCTTACAGAGTATACTGGTTTGATACCACAATTACAAGTCATATTTTTCTAGGCACAACGAACACATTTTCAAGTTCAATGAAAATATACAATTACGAGGCACAATTGACAAAAAAATATACAATTGACAAGGCTGGTTTGAAAGTTGTAGATACAATGTAGTATGGATTTTGTAAATTTGTTACAACCGTTTGGGTCATTCTGCTTTGTTTGACAGTATTACTTTGAAAGTCTGTACAGAAAGAGTGTTTAAGACGGACCATTTTCATTTCTTCACATTTTGTTCTTTGGAAATTGTTTAGGCATTATACGACATTGGTATCGTTTTCCAATATTTTTTTTTCAATTTACTGCATATACATTTATTTGTATACATATACATATATTTGCTCACTTTGCAGCTGCCTTTTCCGATTTACAAGGTCGAAAACTTTTTTTTTGGGGGGGGGGGGAGGATGAAAATTCATGCGCGCGCGGATACGCGGATGGCAACTCAACATGGCCTTGTCAGTAGCGGGGGAAGACAACGATTGTGTTTTTGTTCAACACAACCAGCTGTCCTCCCGGCCCGACTGCAACCCCTACCGGGTACTCCGCGCGGCGGGGGAGGGCGATGTCGCGGATGTACGTGCCCCGGCCTGAGTACATCACGACGCGCCGGCTCTCTGAGTCCACCACCAGGACGTGACCGGAACCGTCCACGCAGATGCCTCGAGGACGATTCAGGCGGCCGCCGCTCCTTCCCGGTCCTCCAAACTTCAGCACGTACCGCCCGCTCGCGTCGTAGACATAGACGTAGTGAAAGTTGTAGTCGGAGACGTAGACGTTCCCTTCTTCGTTAGCGGCGACGTGCATCGGCATCTTCATCCCCTGCTGCGGGCCGACGCCCCACAGGAGCTTCCCGTCAGGCTGGAAGGCTTGCACACCGCCACTGTACAACGTGTCAGACCAGGTGACGAAGACGTGGTCGTTGTGCAAGCCCACAGCCATCCCGCGGGTCGCCCCCCGTGGTACGTTGTCAGGGAGCTCAAAGTTGGCTTTGAGATGACCCTCCCTGTCCAACTGTACCACGCGGTCAGCACTGGCAGGGTACCCGGTCATCAAGACCCAGATGTGGCCATCTCTGTCGATGGACACATCAACTGGCCTCTTTCCTGGGTACCCCAGCCCAGGTGCTTCCTGTGGGAACTCGTGCTGGAAGGCGCCTGCCATGTTGTAGACTTGGAGACGGGCTTTGGTCTGGTCAGCCACCCAGATCTTGTCGGGGGAAACTGCGACTCCGCGCGCGCCGAGCAGGTTTCCAGGCCCCGACTCATCACCAAAGATGATAACGCGCACGCTGCTGCTTCCACCAGACACTTCTACAGCCAGATAAAAGAAGGATCTTTGTCACAAAACGCCTGGCACAGAAGTTTAAGCCTCCTATATAAGAACCAAGTGGACCATAAGGCCACACCAATTTAATTTGTTGGTTCTCGGATTTTTTCAGAAAAAATATGAAGCGACAGGGCGAAAAAAATAAAAATAAAAACAGGTCTAGGCATCCTATTATACATATTTATAGCCCCAAATGCTACAATATGAGCCATGAAGTCAACAAAAAAGGCTGGGTTAAAATTTAAAGTATAAATTTTGAACTTTTAATCAAACCACTGCATTGATAGATGGAAAAACTGTAACAACTAGGAAGAAAAGGAATTTCCTCAACTGTTGGGGGAAAAATGTGAGCATTTTTGAGTTGATTCAGAACCAGAATCTTTTTTTTTTGCAAATCAGAAAAAAATGAAGAGGCGAATCCGAGAACCAACAAATTAAATTGGTGTGGCCTAAGTGGGACATTAGAGAAATCCGCTAGCCTCTACAAGGCTTTGGGAAGCGGCTGGAAAGAGTAGAAATTGGCCAAATGCAATTAATGTAGACAATATCAAATTGGCCTGGCTATATCCACTTGCCAGGCAGTTGAATTTTCGCCACCCCTTTTTTGCCACCCATTTAATTTTCACATTTCGCGGGTGTCGAAATGGTAACTGCCTGGAAAATGGATACAGAGTGGCCATTTTGCAGCCACCAAAACATCCGCTTGGAGATTAGACTTCGTCCACTAGGCTAAAGAGTACAATGTCTTTGTATTAGAATGTAGTTTATACAACGAAGAGAGAGCTGAGCTTTATAAACTATTGCAATGTATGTTTCCCCATTTCATACATCTTAGCAACACAGATAAGTTCATATTTCTAATGGCTTTAGACAAACCTTCGATTATAAAACGATTCTGTACTTTATATCTACATCATTACTAAGAAGCGAGAAGAAGCCAAATTATCGTAATTATTAGACGATATGTCCATAGTACATAGAATTAGTGCTAGCTTGTACATTGTATATATTCATCATTGCAAACTGTGACGTCTTTCCTGTGACCTGTACTGAACCCAGTGGGTATTTGCGTACAATAAAGGTCTTCATTCATTCATTCATTTAATGTCAATGTGCCGCTTCCTGTTTCTGCTCTTCCTGCCGCTGCCCGAAGCCTGGTAGAGGCTAGAAGTCCGCCACAATCTGTAATAAATGACAAACCTTTAGTGTCCACGGGAAGCGGCCTGGTGGCTTGTGCAGGTCCGGCTGTTTCCACTTTCGCAGGGACTGCGTCACCACGCCCACCGGCCGCCGGGTTGACCTGTGTGACGGTTATTTTCAAAATTTCAAATTCTGGACACATCATATGCCCGTAGCCAGGGGGGGGCGGGGGCCCCCCCACAAGGCTCAAAGATCCACTTTTTATGTAAAGGTTCACTTTTTGGTCCACTTTTAATGTAAAGGTCCAAGATTTTTCTTGAAAAGATGGACATGGAATCGTATTTAGAAAAACTGCTCCCTTTGTCATTGAATAAAAATTTATCTCTCATTTTTTCTTGGATGAAATCCTGTCAAAAATGCACGAAATGCCATTTTAGAAGGTTCATTTTTCAACATTTTTCGGGGGAGCATGCCCCCGGACCCCCCCACGGCGCTCGAGGTCCCCTCAAGCAGTGGGGCGCCCTTGAAGCAAATTGTGCACCGGCAAAAAACGCCTCTGCAGTTCTAATGCAAGCAGCTAGAGACACCATTTTGTACCAAGTTTGGTGCTTGTATCACAATTTGAAAGATTCCTCCAAAATTTGATATTATCTGCTCCACTAAATGCTGCCGTCGAAAAACAACTACAATTTTACAGAAGACTGTAGTCAATCAGACAGCTACTGACCCTGATGACGTCAGCCAACGTCACAGTCCTCACTTGCGCAGTAGAGTCAGTGGTGTCCGTTCCTCGGTTGTTGGTCACAGGCTACAGACAGATACATGTATGTGGATATTGTTGGATTATGCAATGTGTGATCTATTATATACCTGAGGGATTTCATTTTTACAAGCCTAATTCTCCTTCTGACTGGATATGCAACATAATATTACTTTATTTGAAATGTTTTAGAACTCAAAAAGTTTTGTCTCTGCTTAATTATTGAGATTTAGTGTATCACCATGTATGAAGGACTCACACATACAATGGAATACTAGAGTACAAAACCTATGCCATTATGTTGTCTCCAGGTTTCTCAATCTCAGGGAGGTGTGTGAGAGTGAGTGAGTGAGTGAGTGAGTGAGTGAGTGAGTGAGTGAGTGAGTGAGTGAGTGAGTGAGTGAGTGAGTGAGTGAGTGAGTGAGTGAGTGAGTGAGTGTGTGAGTGAGATTAGTGAGTGAGTGTGTGAGTGAGTGAGTGATTGAGTGGTGGAGTGAAGGAGGTGTGTGTGAGTGAGTGAGTATGTGAGGGAGGTGTGAGTGAGTGAGTGTGTGTGAGTGAGTGAGTGAGTGTGTGTGTGTGTGTGTGTGTGTGTGTGTGTGTGTGTGTGTGTGTTAGGTGAGTGAGTGAGTGAGTTTGAGGTGAGCGAGCGAGTGAATGAATTAGCGAGTGAGTTAGCAAGCGAGTGATTGAGTGTATGAGTAAGGTGTGTGTGAGTGATTGAGGTGAGTGAGTGAGCAAGTTGGTGAGCGAATGAGCATGCAAGAAAGGTACTTTTTCTAAGATGTTCAAAGAAGAAGCAAACTTACCGAGTCATGGTGCTTGAACGGTGGGGAGCCGGTGTGCACCAGAATCACGTGTACCATCAGCGTTACCATGGCAACGAACGCTATGATGATGATGATGATGGCGATACCTCGGCCTTGGCAACAATGGCGCAGTCGTTCCATTATGGAACGCCTTTCTACCGCGTCGTCTATGAGATGCATATGGAGAAAAATAATATGAGTTTTTTTTTTACCTTCGCCAAGAAGGTTATGTTTTCAGTAGCGTTTGTCCGTCTGTCCGTCTGTGAACAGCATAACTCAAGAAGCTTAGTATGCATTGTCATAAAACTTGGGTAGGTGGGTAGGTCTTGATGAGACCTAGAAATGATTAGATTCTGGGCCCCCTGGCGGCTTTTGTTGGTACTGCAGCAGAACTTCCGGTTTTGATATCTCGCGATCTGGACATGCTAGGGTCACGAATTTTGGTTGGTAGATAGCTCTTGGGGTAGGGAAGAAGTGACATGAGTTTGGGCCCCCTAGCGGCTTGTTCTGGAACTGCAGGAGCATTTGTTTAGCAAATTTTCGAAGGAGGATGATTTCAAATTGCATCAAGTTGAGTGCAGAGAGAATTGTTAGGCAATAAAAACAAACACAATTTTCTGTAATACGGATGGTTGGCAAGTTTATATCATGACATCATTTAGGGTGTAAAAGCAAACAGGATGTATTTCAGTCTAATAAGGCCACACCAATTTAATTTCTTGGTTAACGGATCCGCCCGCATCATTTTCTTCTGATTTGCAAATAAAAATAAAAATTTAGAGTCAACAGTAAAATGCTCATATTTTGCCTGGAACAGTTCAAAACAGTCCTTTTCATCCTAGTTGTTACAGTTATTCCATCTTTCAATACAATGCCAATGGTATTAAAAGTTCAAAATTCTTTGTTTAAATTTTGACCCAGCCTGGTGTGTTGACTTCAGGGCTCCTATCGTACCATTTTGGGCCATAATAGGATGCCTTGAGGCCTGTTTTTATTTTTATTTTCGCCCGCCCGCTCCATTATTTTTCTAGAAAAATCCGTTAACCAAGAAATTAAATTGGTGTGGCCTAAGTCTGCCTTTTGCTATGTGTATATGGTGACAGAGGGAAGTGAAGTGGTTTAAAATAGCAAGTTTTTATACCACACACACCTTCGTTATTGAATGAATGAATGAATGAATGAATGAAAGATTGTACATTTCTGCTCACACAAACTAAGTACAGGTCACCTATAAATCAGAGAGATTTCATTGTACAAAATGTAAGTACTAGATATTTCACTAGACACACTAACGTGTGCTACTACCTACTGGTTCTACTACCATTTTTAACTTCTTTAATATAGACTGTTATAGATGTATGAACACATGGAGCTTGTAATATACGGTTTGCCTAAACCCGTGATAAATAAATAAAAAGTCTATTCTTAGACTAAATTTGAAAACTGGGATTCCACTCTACTACCTTGAGGTTGATTTGGGCTGTCCGCCTGACCGCCGGCCGAGCCGTAATCTTCTCTCGCTGGTCTCGGGGAGGAGGGAACAGGCGGTGCGTCATGGCTCAGAGGCGGCCCGATACCCTGGCTGAACTCGTCCCCGTTCTCGTACACGTGTGCGCCGCCGGCCGCCACTGGTCGGTCCCCGTCAGTGGTGGTTGTTCCTCCTGGCCTTGGGGTAGAGAGACCAGGCGGGGTGCCGTGGGCGTCCCGGTTCAGAGGCGTGTACTCTTGTGTCGCGGCTTCATTTGCAGAATCGAGAAAAAAATTGTATCGTGAGTGTCAGCCCTTTTAGTTTTCGTCCGTTCGTTCCCCACGATTATTACCACCGGTATACCGGGCGGTAGCAAATCTTGGGGAGCAGACGAAAGCTAAAGAGGCTAGAAAAATGGTATATGTAAATGCCCGTAGCCAGGGGGGTTCGGAAGAACCCCCACAAGGCTCAAAGGTCCACTTTTTGGTCCACTTTTCATGTTAAGGTCCACTTTTTATGTAAAGGTCCAAGATATTTCTTGAAAAGATGGACTGGAATCGTAGAAAAACTGCTCCCTTTGTCATTGAATAAAAATTTATCCCTGATTTTTTTCTTGGAAATCCTCTCAAAAATGCACGAAATGCCATTTTAGAAGGTTCATTTTTCAAAATTTTACGGGGGAGCATGCCCCCGGACTCCCCTAGGTACCTCGCGCTTTCGGCGGTCGCCTCGTGCCTACGGCGCTCGAGGTCCCCTCAAGCAGTGGGAAGAAGCCCCCCCTTCAAAATCCTGGTTGCGGGCATGAATGTATATAGCCTTCTGTGCTACGACAGGGCTTTTATACCTTTGCTATAAAATGCAACCTTTGTTGTTCTGAATCAATGAATTTAACAAGAGTTCCACGATCTCATACCTTCGCCAAATGACGTCAACCCTTCCGACGGACGGATTACATTTTTACAATACATTTTTACTCATTGATTTTGGAAATAAGATCCTCATTTTCATGAATCATGTCAGCTGATCATATCTTGCACCCAATGACAGTCATATTTAAACAAAGAAGGCTATTGTAGCATTTACCCATAAATTATGCAAATGAGTTCCTGGTTTGAATAAATTATGTTGATATGGTTAAAGGTATTCACCTTCCGTTAACTTCCAAATGCGGCAAGTATTAGATTCTTGGCAGTTATCATTAGGCCACAGCAAGTAATTTTTTATGGATGACATCAGCGCGCGCATTGATTTTCGCCTGGTTTTGAAAAAAAAAAAACAAGAAATTTTGTTGCCCTTTGACGGTGGTCAACATTCCGAAAATGAACAAAATGGCATGCCTTGCCATGCTGGAACGTATATGGCAGATAAACATGAAGAGAGGAGACAAGACAAGGCTCTGATTTCCTTTTTTTGACTTTTACTTTGATGCAGTGATCTATTTTATTCCTTTTATACGTTTCCACGGAATCAAAACCATTTGTACAATGATTGAAAACTTTCCCTTCTTAAAGTTGTTTTAGTGACAAATTGATGTTGTAATAGTTGGCAGTTAAGTTAGCACCATATAGGTATCATTTCTTGTTTAATAGGGTTTATGATGTCAAAATTTCAAAATATAGGAATCTTGTTTTTTGGACCCGCCTTGTTTTTTTTCGCCCTCTTGCATTAGATTTGGAGTCTGCGGAGGATGTCATCCATAAAAGTTACTTACTGTGGCTTTATGACCATATGCAAATGTGTGATGTCCTTGGTTGGACCAAGGACATTATACAAGATGTCCTTGGTTGGACTAATAATACACAAGCTATGCCGCTTTACTTCCCACGAGTGGCATATCTTTCTAATTTGCATTTTTCTAACTTGCATATATCAACATACTGAATCAACATGTCATATAGACCTTAGAACGTCATACTAAATGATCAAGAGGACTCAAGATATTATTGCTTGGTACCTGAACTACATACGACATTAGGCCTTTTTTTTTCTGGTTTCCCTCCTAGACCCCCATTGCGACAAATCAAATTCAATTTTTTTTTATTCGGTAAGGCTCTCGCGGACAAATACCCGAATTTCGTCCTTATTACATAGTACATAGAACATTAAAAACAATGATTTGTGGCACTCTTCATTGTGCACATGAAACAACATAGGCAAACACACTA